GCTCTGCAACGGGAGAGGCCACAACAGTGAGAGGCCCGCGTACCAAAAAAAAAAAAACAAGAAAACAGGGATGATAAAGCCTACCTTCACAGACTGATGAGGAATGGAAGAGCCACATATGTAAAATGCCTGACACTGAGCATAGTAAATAATATTTATTGAACATTCTAAACATTTTACAAGTGTTATCTGACAGACTCCTCATAACAGCCCTGTGAGACAGGTACTACTATTATCCTCATTTTATAGATGAAGGATCTGAGGCATGGAGAAGTTAACTTGCCCAAAGTTACAGTAATTAAATGAAGAGTCACACTAGATAGCTTAACTCCAGGACCCAGGCTGTTGGCCACTAAAAAAGAGTTACTACTATTATCTTTAATCAGACCACATCCAAGCAGTCTTCCCCAATAGAAACTTTGTCTCTTACCGTTTCTTAGGGTTAGGCTAAGGAATCAAAATCACCTTGACTCTGCTGGTCTCAAACACAAATTTAAAGATTGCATTTCAGGGTCAAGGACTAAGTTGGCACAAGGACATCATCTGAGAAAGGTGGGGATGGTAGGACAAGCCCATCGGCAAAGCATCTTTGGAAAAGTTCTCTGCCATCTTTGAGGCTCCTGGCTTAAATGATTCCATATGGGGCTGACTGAAGCTTTCTCTGTGGAAGGCCATCCTAAGAAATGCTTCACTTGTGGGAGGCTCTGGATGAAAACTCATCTGGATGTCTTCTCTGCCTGTACGGTTCTGTATCGCGATTTGGGTTTTGTGAAAAATTTTCCTGATGTTTTCAGAGCTTTGCTTTTCAGTGATCATAGATAATTTATCTGCCTTCTCCTAGGGCCACAATTAAGGTAATGGAAGGGAACAGAAAGAGAAATGGAAGCATATTCTGATAATGCTATCCTTTCTCATTGAATTCAAGAGCATCCACAGTCTTGCATTTTGCCTTTAACTTGCATCTTTCCAAATCCTGCCACAACTCAAAGTACCTTTTCATAGGGAAGCCTTTTAAGTTTTGCCCCAACTTTACTCCTAGCAGAAAGGTCAAGAAAAACTAAGCCAATCAATTTGGAAATGCTTCTTTTCTGATTCATTTGCAGCTGTGTTACATCCAGATGTCTGACTCAAGAGGGAAACAGGTAAGCCACTGGCACCCAAACACTCAGGCCTCAACTGATGAAGCTCCCTGACCAGAAATGCCTGCCTCCCATTCTGATAAAGGCTCTCTAAAAGGTTCAGGAACAACCACAGTTTTATGCTTTCTGAAAACAGAATCTGGGGGTTATGAACAAGGACAAAATTTTACCAAGGTCCTGATCCTAACACTGTCTCTAGAGAGCTTGTAGATAGCTACCTGGGCAAAGACTGATCCTGCTCTGCTCCCTTCCCCAAGAAAATGGGGTTAATACCTCCCCAGATGGCTACAGGGAGGATTAAGGGTTATTATTCTTGGCATTCAGCTCTGTCACAGCTCTAGCAGTTGTGACCTTTTTCACCCTAAAATAAGACATTAAATATAAAAATGCAAGCAGTGATCCCTGAATCTGATTCTACAATAGGGTGAGAATTTTCTTTCCACACAGCATCTGACACTGCCTCCAATACTCCAACCTGGTGGCTGAATACTCCTCTTATTCAGGCCTCAAGTTTTTAAGGTATTAGTTACTAATGCCACAAAGCCCTTTGTGGAGTCAGCAGCTGTTACTAATAGCACCAAGAATGAACCCCAGGACTCTCAGGGTTTCAGTCAGGCCTGAATTCAACCTGAAGAAACCAAAGTGGCCGCCCTTTACCCCCAAACCCAGGCTCTCGGGGGCAAAAGATGAGATCTAGTAAAAAGCATGTATTACATCATTTAGTCCTTATATACCCACTGTAATGTAGGTGCTCATTTCACATATGAGGAAAGTATAGCTCAGAGAGAACACGTGCTTTACTCTAGGTTACACAGCTAAGAAGGTGCAGACATAGGTTCAAATATCAGCCCTACTACTACTAGCTGTGTAACCTCCAGCATATTTTTCAACTTTCTAGACCCTCAGTTTCCTCATTTGTAAAGTGGGAATAGTGATAATACTTACCTCAGGGGACTTCTGAAGATTAAATGAAATATTGTAGGAAAAGTGTTCAGCAAGTGCCAGGCACAAAGTAAGTATTCAATACATATTAGTTTTTTACAGATCAAAATGACAGGAATTTGATATAATTTTTATATAATAACAGAGTTTAAAATACTGAAAAAAAAACCTCAGTCCAATTTAACTACATAAGTATGAACTCCTCCTCCATATCCTTGATAAGAAGTGGCAAAGCCTCTGCTTGAATACCTCCAATGATGGGTAACTCACCCCCCCCCACAAAACAGCCCATTGTCTACCCTCTTGGAATTTCCAACATCTACCCTCTTGGAATTTCCATCCTTTGATCCTAGTGCTGCCTTGCAGAATCACACAGAGAAAGTCCAGTTCCTTTTCCAAAGACAGTTCTTCAAGTATGTGTTCCCCCAGGCTCTTAGCTTTGGTCCTTTCAGCTCTTGCTCAAGTGTCACAGTCCCTGAGGAGACAGACCTGGGTCTGAATTCTGATCCTTTCACTTACTAGCTGTGTGACCTTAAGCAAGTTATTCTACGTCTCTGAACCTGTGTCTTCATATGTATAATAGGAAAAACTTTCACTTCACATGGTAGTCATGAAGGTTAAATTAGATAAAGTAAGAACACTACCTAGCACAGAGCATGACATATACCAGGCCCTCAATAAATGTCAGTCACTTTTTAGGATGTATTCCAGTTAGTAAATATCCCTCAAAGTAAATTAGCCAGAATTAAACGTAACACCAAGGGACTGGTTTCTGACGGCAATTGTCAGGGCTTGGGTTTTTGAAGAGCTTATTAGACAGCTGAGAAGAAAGCACAGCCTAAGAATTATATGGGTTTGGCAGCCCAAAGATGCAGTGGAGAATCTGGAAAGGTGAGGATAAAAGAAGAAAGGAAACAGAATGGATCATTAAACCAGTGGCCCAAAAGAAAAGGTTAAGTATCACCACATTACACGTTGTCTATGACTCCCTCTCTGAGACCCAGGACTGCACGTGTGGGCTATACTCCTTAATTCAAAAAGGAGAGAAGAAAAATAAAAATAATTGAAGAATAATTAAAGCCACACTTTTGGGCCTTCCCAGCAGTTGGCCCCTCAAAAGCCACAGATTTTAGCAGAGGGCTTCTTCAGTTGTATCCTTCCAGATTCTGAAGCCCACGTGTGTGAAAATACCCTCCATAGGATGTCCCCTGAGTTCTTACCAGCTAGAAAAACTGTCAGCTGTTTGACACCTTTAAAACTCAAAACTGGCAAATCGTCAATGTTAACACCATCACCACAATCACTACACATATTCTCTTTCCTTCAGTGACCCCAAGGGAAGGAGTCCCAGGCAGAAATATGAATTGTTGTTCAGTTATTCTTCAGAGTTGACCCAAAGCACTGCTCCTACAAAGTGGGATGTGACTTGAACATAAGTGTCCCCAAATAGATTAAGAGGGAAGGATAGCTGGACTCCAGAATTAAGCAGCATGATCACAAACTATGGCAGAAAAGGTTGTTTCCCACCTGCCGATGAAATACAACAAACTGCAATGAAAAAATCCATTGTTAGTCTTAGACTCGGCCCAAAGGAGCCCTACTAATTACCCCTTGGCCTGTGATAGAGGATCTGGTTATCACTATGCTCAAGAGCCAAGATTCAATTCAATCCCTTTAAAAATATAATTACAAAGAAGCAGCAGCCAGAATTCAAACCAAAAATATCCTTTAGTAGTTCCTTCAACTTAGTGAACAGAGACTGGCCACTCAAGGAGGACTGCAATATACAGAAAAGCTTAGTGAGGCCACTGGGCATACCTGTGCCCTAGGTGGGGATTTCATAATGCCTTTGAGTCAGGAGGTGACCTCAGAATAATAATCTTCTTCTCAAAACTGTTTCAGGCTTTATTAAAAGGGAAGACTTAACTGCCACTTTGCCCTGATCATCTACCCCATCTTTGGGAAGAATGGGGAAGCTACATCCACCCTACCAGGCTTTTAAACTCACTAACTTGAGAGGAAAACTTTTTAAAGTTGCTTTACCACTACCTCAGGAAGTTAAAGAAAGTCATAGAAGGAAAGGCCTTTGGAGGAAATAGTCAAATTAGGTTGTTAGACATTAGTCATAAATCCCGATGCCTCTTTTCTAGAGACCCTAGTAGTACACCTGCAGAAGAGAGAGCCAGAGGGCACTATGCGAATTCAACCTGGCTGGCAAGGGGGCGTCTCACTGCAGCTTTCGGCAACGAGAATTGGATCCTGCTGGGTCGCAGTCTCTCTCCTACTCCACACTTCCCATTTGCCCTTTGAAGTGGGTACTGAATAGCCAGTTCCCAAGTAAAGGCCCTTTGTACGGGCGCTACAGTCGCATGGTGGAAACACCTCGGCAGAGTTCAGTTTGGTGCCAGGATGGGCCACTGAAGGCATCTGCGGCTGCCAGAAGCCTGGACTGGACACACACACACACACACACACACACACACACACACACACACACACACACACAGATGGAAACTAAGAGAGAGCAGGTCAAGCCAACGTTGCCCTCCCGACACTTCCACCTGCCCCCTTCTTCCTGAGACCCGCGCCAGATCAGATGTCAAACAAAAACTCCGCAAAAAAGTCCCGTGATGGGACGACTTCCACCTCTCCCTCGGAAGA